AGCAGGAGCTGGATGCAGACAGCTGCAGATGCAAAGTACCTGTCATGCTAAGGATAGATTTGAATCAGCGACCTGGAGGCGAGACTACTTCCTACAGTCTACCATCTGATTTACTTCCTTAATAAAAATGTATTTCTCAGCTTAAGCAGTGACAATGCATCAAACAAACACAGTACCTCAAAAAAGTAAAGCACTATATACCCAAGTGAACATTTTCAGGTTGCCAGAAGGCTTCAAACTTAATTACATTGCAAACGTAAGGACAGCAATTACATAAGTAAAGTGAACAGCATCCCTGTGTTTCACTTACATGCAGCACTGATAAAGAGGAGCCAAGATGCTTCTTTCATCCAGGGCAGGGTTTCCAAAGCTGAAAAGCAAAATTAAACCCCAGTGAAGCAGTTGAACTCCTAATGTTGTTCTCAACATCAACAGATTTGTAAGGAATTAAAAAAAATCAATACTAGGCAATTTCACGCTCCAACAGATCAAATCATTTACCTTTAAATATAAATAGGCCATGACCAATTAATTACAGATATAACTCTCAAAAGCATCAGCTAATGTATCAGGTAAACAGAAGCCAACACCAGCACACCTAGTTCTTTATCAGACCAAGGCACCTTAGAAATGAACTTCAGAGGAGTTTAGAAATTGGGCTCATCTTCCAAAGCAGGAGAAAGGAGTAATCGGTATTCTGGACACAGAGCGGGAGCTTTGCCTGACACAGCTGGACAGGGAACGAACAGAACAGCAGCCACCTGCTGGTTCAGATGGCCAAGCTTAGATCAACAGTTCAGCTAACAAGGTGATCAACTCTAACACGATCACACTTTCTCAGGGAGGCCTGCCAAAAGAATTTCATGGCATTTTGAGCTTCATCTAAACACGTTTGTTTTGGTTTTTTTCTTTAACTAGTTTAACCCTCCTCATAATACTGTTTTCAACAAAGAACTTTCTCCTCAGTAAAGATAACTTTGTTTTGGTTTTTTTCTTTAACTAGTTTAACCGTCCTCATAATACTGTTTTCAACAAAGAACTGTCTCCTCAGTAAAGATAACTGACTCTAGGAGTCTGGCATTACTCTGCTCAAATAATTCTGTTATTAGTAGCTTTAAAACTGGATTAGGCTCCCCAAGAAAGTGATCATGGCACCAAGGAGCGTCTGGACAATGCTCTTAGTCATATGGTTTAGTTTTAGGTAGTCCTGTGAGGAGCAAGGAGTTGGACTCAATGATCCTTATGTGTCCCTTCCAACTTGAGATCTTCTATGATTCTATGAAAAAAACTGTCCCCCTATCCCTTATCTCAAAGGAGCAGAAAGAACTTTACTTAAGCTTTCAAGACAACAATTGACTTCTGGGCTTGCCAAGCCCCATTGGAAATGTTTTCATAACGTTATAAGCACGTACCATAACGAAAGGTCTGACATGACCTTCAACTACCGTATTTACTTCCAGTGACTAATACATAACTTCCTCCTAGCACAATGCCAGAGCATTACAGAAAGACAATTTTTGCCAAATTCACCTAAAGCAGTCTGAAAGCAGCAATAATTAAGCAGTCCCAAGGTGGAATGCATCCTGCTGACATAACTGAAGGAGTCTTACTGAACAGCCTGGTGCTTAAAGACAAAATACTCAACTAAGCCACTGCAGAGAAACGAGGAAGGAAGAGGAGGAAGGAGGGAAGGAATCTACTATATGAAAGGCAAACGGGGAAAGAAATGGTAACTCCAAGCCTTCCAAGGATCTGTCCATCCACAGAAAGGGAAACTCACTGCCACTGCAGATGGTAATGCCGATCAGAAAAAAAAACCTTGGGAGTCTCTGGACTAAAGCATGAGAAAGTGGAATAGGCTATCTCTGGTTTCAAGAAAAATTAAGAAAATTGTTATGATTTAAACAAGGTTGTATCTTCAATAGGATTTTTAACTTAAACTCTATCAGTCCACATACAAAAACTATAGCAGAGACAGAACAACTCACATTTTAAACACATATGCCTAGTAAAGCTTGGCCTCAAGAAGGACTTCTCATCAGTTCCTATCAGTTACTACATGCTTCATTTTTGTTTCAATAACAGTTAATGTCCACACTCAGGACATCATCATATTTTGCTCTCAGTATCAGTTCTCTCTCCATTTTAACCTTTTAACGCCAGAGTAGACATATCCAGAAGGCAGGGAATGCCAAATTATTCAGAGGCATATTTTTGAAAAGATCTAATTTTACTATGGCACTCACTAATACTCACTGGTAAATAGTAAGTTTTTAATCTTCCATTAATTAAAAAGGGAGAGGGCTTTTCTGGGGATAGAAGGAGAGACTTAAGTAACCTTTGCAAGTTGCTTGGGGAAAAAAGGTCATACTGTGCTAATTTGGGAGTTTCTACAATTTGAATAAGACTTTGCCCAAAGCAGTCATCATATCTAGAGCACAGAGTAAGGATGACAGCCTTTGAAGGACTCTAATATTCGGTGATTTCTGATAAGAAGGAAAGCACAAAAGCTATTAATGAAACAACTAATGAGAGAAAGAAAACAGAGAGATACAGAGCAGGTAAGTGTGTGCCCTTGTGATCGCCACTCCTGGCCATCAGGACTTCCCTTACCCTCACCTTTTGGCATTATCCAGGAGGATGAGCATACTGGCTCCTTCATCATCCTGGAAACTCTCATAGTGATGCCTGTCAGCATTCCCAATCAAATAGTCAAAGATGGCGGTGTCAATGATATCAAGGAGACGAGGGCCCGAGTCATATGGTGAAGTCTTCTTCACAGCATCGCAATAGCTTTCATCATACTCCCACCTGCGGGCCGGCAAAAAGAAACCAAATCAAATCTTCAAGGAACATTCCATGATGGCATACTATCGGTATTTATAGCTGCCCCTTGAGTCACTTGTGAGTGCATAAAGAAAAGGTAAGCGCAGCAGTCAAGGCTAGACTCCAGAAGAGTGAGCTAGACAAAAATGTTTTATTAAAAGAGTAAATCCTGTATTAACACCCTAGCGTATGGAGCAAGCTATAGTTTCAGTGCAAGGTTACACATCATCTTCCTACAGAAAACAAGGTCAGAGTTTGCTTCCTCATGGCTCACAATTCAGCAGTGGTTGGGCTGCCTCACGGCAAGATTACTGTCATGACTCGCCTCCCTTAACTTCCTAACTAAAGACTTCACATACTGTGTCTATTTCTGTTGCCTTGACCTGCTCCTATCAGTCTTGCTTGCCAGCCATCCTCTTCATTTTTTCCCTTCTAATGCAAATAACCTCATCGTGGTTACTAATGACCTCCTCTGTCCTGAGGAGAAGGGCCTCATATGTGTTCATTCTCCTTCACTCACAGTTGTCTCTTTCCTCCCTAATTTCCTTTCAGAGTATCTCACCTTCGTCTCCACTGGCACGATTTCAAGCTTCCCTTTTCTCTCCTCTCCTTCTACACGTAACCCAGGCATGTACTCCTGGTTTTATAACACCGATGTCATATCTCAATTCTCCAAAGCTAGGATTTAAAATTTTCTCATTTTCTTCTTTACAGTTTTCAACACTATTCAACACCACCAACAAACCAGCCAAATCTCTGGTGCACGTCCTTTCCATCTGCCAAACTAAATGACAAGTACATCTACAACATCTTCCATGTAAGGACTGAAACAATCCTTCACAAAATAGCAGTTAAGTTGGAAATGCCTTAAACCATCTGCGACTTGGAAACAGAAATGGAGGAAACACAAGCTGGAGAGACTTGCTGACATGCTCAAAATTGCGGAGAGTCATAAAAGCAGGGAAAGATCAGAATTCAACTATTAGAATTGCCACATACCCGACCTCGTCTTCTAGAAGTCCGGAGCCTCCAGTTATTCAAATCAGAGTGGCCAAAAATTTATCTTCTTAATGTTTTTGTCATTATGTCCAGACACTCCTCAAATGCTGTCTCTAGTTCCCTCTTTCTTTTGCATTAAGGTCCAACTCACACTTAACTTATAGCACAAATCCACAAGGCAAAAGTCTCAGAACATACTCCTCCTTGTACTGCACACATTTCTTTTATACTACACCCCTCTCTCCCTCAAGTGTTTCTCTTTCTCTCATTTTACTTTAGATCAGTACTTAATCTCCTTGCAACAATTTTTCAGATATACTATACTCTGTCTTCTCATCTTCCACTCAGCCTTTCAAGATAGACCTTTCTCCGACATTTATTTCCGATCATTTAGATTGCATTAGCATAGGACTTCGAAGGTCAGGGATTTTATCTATTACAGGTCCATTAAAGATTATGTACACTAACGTGACTATATGAATTGTGTTCAAAAGGTCAACTCAGGACAGAGTAGAAACAGTTAGATCCGGAAAAAAAATTCCTACAGTTATTTTTCTGTGATTACCAGACACAGAAAAAGGAGAGCGTGACATATAGAACATTTAATTCTCCTGATGCTCTCAAAGTGAAAAGCACAACACGATAAGGTGCAAAACAACAGTACCATGCAATCTCATCTGAATGGGGCAAGAGGAAGTAAGTTTAAAATACAGCAAATATCAAAACAACATAGGTATCAGGGTAAACGCCTGTGTAAGCAGGCAGTTTATGATGAAAAACTCTCTCTCAAAAAAAAGAAACACCTCCAAGAAATTCAGTCCCTTCATTACTGCAATTTACCATGTACTAAACACAAGTGGTTTGACCTGTTGGAAAGGAGATAACATCTGCTGCTCAAAAATCAAACCGTACATTTAATACTCTAAAACAATTCAATGAAGCCTTTGGACGAGATTCTGAGAACAATCATGTCATTGGAAATCAAAGGATATTTTAGATCAAGGACTAAAGATCTCTTTCTAATCACTTGTCCAGGACACAGATTTTGAAAAATTTACTAAGCTCAAAACCATTTGCTGTGGTCATGGCAAAACCATCTCCAACCCAAATACTCTGACATGTTCTATCTATTGCACAAGATTGCTAGACCCCATGTTTGTCCTCCTCTAAAAGCATTCTTCAGATGCTAAGCATCGCCACCAAATACTGATGGTATTCAAAGCAAAGAAGAACATTTCAGTGCCTACCTACTTAAGCTAAACCAGCTCCACAACTCTTGAAAGAAACACAAGGACCATGAAATCAGGTCTGGCAGAAAATAGCATAGTGCTACCATATTTTAGTGGGCCACAGAGAGGCACAGTGTCAAAAAAAGGTGTAGTGGCACAAGAGAAGAGTCTTGGTTTGCCCAGAGCCAAGATTTTCAGAGCTCGGAGTGACCGCACGGTGAAGTTCTGTTCCAGGCAAGGAGTAGGAAAAGGACAGCACTAAGTATTGTGGAAAATAATGAAGATTTCTTTCTTGCTTATTTCAATTTAAATCTCATCCTATACTTCTTGACTTCCACTGTCATATCAAGAAAGCTGTTGGCAAAGCTCAAGGTTTTGAGAGCGTTTGCTCCTTAATTAGCCACTGTATTGCAAGTGTTATTCTAGTACAAATTATCACGTGTAAAGAATAACTCTATCATGTTCTCATACCTGGCAAGTTTGCCTTCACGGTAAGTCCTGCCCCACGGGTGCCGATGTTTCTGAAGAGGCCAGACATCTGGTAGCCACAGAGTCACTGACCCCTCCATGATGTCCCCGTCTGCACAAGCTGGTTCTGTTTCCCGACAATAGTAGCACTTCCCATAGAAGCAAGTGTTATTACCTTAAAAAAAAATCATAATGAAGAGGTATCAAAAGAGCATAACTTAATCCAAGGGATGCCACCTGAAATTCAGGAGCATACTGTTGCAGCAGAGCCTTCCCTGCAATAGGATTTCACTGCACTTGACCTCATGCTTCCTATCTCTGAGAGGAGGTGGCTCAAAAGAGATTAAACAGACATCTCTTAATTCAAAGCAACATTAAAGACTAATATTCAGATGAGAGAGTAATTATATTTTCTAATGTGTTTATCTCACAGGGTTAATACAACATTACATTATCAACAAGTTTTTGTGATCCTCTCCTCGTCCTTAGGACCTTCACTTTGCAACCTTAGCACTGCTTGTTTTTACATTTCACACTTCATGTGTCAGATTTCCCACTTCAAAAAGTTGACCAAAAAGAGACAAGTGAGAAGAAACTAAGCAGAACTTAAATGGATTTGGAGTCCTACAACCTGCCACGTCTCAGTTACTTGAACTGATTCAGCAGGGGAAACACAAACAAGCTGCCGTTCTTACATGATCTAGGCATGCAAATCTGTCAAATGTTGCATGAGTGTCTTCTGATAGGAAAGGAACAACGAAACCCTGCAGGCTTTAGTCTGTTAAGGCCTATGTAGCCCGTAGCATAATCTACATAGCCTAGATTAACATTTTTAACTTAACCGTTTCTATTTCACCCTTCTAACCTGCTGTTGCTTGACCCTTGCCAAGTTAATTCCAGTTCCATTCTCATGGATGTTCTTCCAAAACATTCTTCAACTACGTCTCCCTTCCTTGCAATTCCAATTACTTCCTGTCCTTTCTTCCTTTGGCTCTACATCAGATATCCTCCCCAAATCAGGCCCAGTTCACTGAAAGACATGTTTTTTGCTTTCCATTCTTACACATCACAATGCCTTAGCCAGCTAGCACTCCTTTGCAGTCCTCCATCCAGACCTGGCTCTTGTGCTCCCACTACCTCCGTCACACAACTTGAGGACATCAGAGAGATGAACATTAACAACACAGAGCTTGCAGCAGACCAGATCTCTTGTTTCTATGGAAAGTGCTGCAAGTCTCTCTTCCTATCCATGGCCTGCCGCAGGTCTAGCAAAAGACAGAATTCTTTGAGATTCTAGCTGCAACTCTAGCAAATCTGCAGTGAGCATGCGTGAATTATCTTTTCTTCAAAATCTCAGAAACTTGGTCAAATTTGAGTTGACAACAGTTTACAACCTTCTCCCCAGATCCACCCATTTCTTTGGTTCATGCTTTGCAGAACAGGCGGTTTCAAGGAATCTAAGGAAAGGCAATGAAAATTTCTGGAGCCATGCTTTTCAAGTCAGTATTTCTGCTAGAAAACTGCTTAGTTATCTTGGCTGAAATTAGAAAAAGTAAAGTCTGCCTGAAGCAGACACCCGATCTGAACGCAAAGAGTTTGGCAAGGCAGAGCTACTCTCATCTGTAAGTTACACCTTGTAACTGAAAGTATTAGGCAAACTTAGTAGGTGAGACTACCAACAGTGTTTGTAAGAGAAATATACACAGGCACACATTTATCAGCTGTGATGAACAATCATCTCTAGCGTCTCCTTATTAGGAAAAAAAAAAAAAAAAAGAGTAATAATTGGATATTTTATGAAAGCCTGAAGGAGTTAAGACTGAAGCATAAGTCATTTCTTGGTGCTTAATGACCACCTGGTAGGAGTTCACATTCATAATTCCCATTAAGTGCCCTTCACAGCATTATTACTGTAAGCAACATACGGAAGTTCCGACACATTTCGTTATGAATGCTCAGCAGGCTCTGATGCAGCACAAACAACATCTAACACCAACTGACGCATCAGGTCTATAAGTTATCCCAAATCGCCACTATGTTCATGTTAAATACAATTCCATTTTTTTCCTTTCGGGTCTAATCACAGACTTTTCTTACCACCTCTGACAGCAGAGATAAAATTCTTACTCAAAAAAATCCCATCTGTAACAGCAGCATGAGGGAACACTGAGAAGTTATAGAGGAAAAACTACTCGGGGAAAATCAAGTCCTCCTCCCGCGCCAAATGGGGTTATACAAGCGTTACGATCTCTCTTGGCACAGAAAGAGACTCACCAGTTTCCTGTATCATGGTTAACTGTTCTATAACTGTGTCAGATTCCCACGGCTCTTTTTCCCATTAAAAATGTTTTTCTTTACGGGGCTGCATGGAATTTACTTACCCACAGTCATGAAGGTACCCAGAAGCTGCTCTGTGGCAACCGGTTTGATCTCTGTACGTAGATTCACAAACCTGCCAACCACCAGTGGAGCTCGTCGGAAACCCAGAATTCTGATTTGGGGTGAAAAAACATGACATGAGAATTTGCAACATAGGCAACAGTTCTAAATTAAAAGAAAACAAAACCACAGTGTCTGTGCCACTGTCTGAAATTGAGATGGCTGAGACCAAAGAATAAAGTTGGAACTCTGCAGAAACCTCCTCTCTTGTCCAAGGCAAAGTAAGGAAACTCATTTTTCTTAAGTGCTTGGATGTTAAACTTGCTCTATGGGCCATCAGTGACACTCCTTTATTAGAGCATTTGCAGCAGAGCAACACAGGATGCACCATGGTCCAACTCTCAGAAATCAGACCTCATACCAGAAATATCCATCATCTGTCTTCTGTACAGGCTGAAGCAGTAACCATATGGCCTTTGGGCTGGTCACCTGGAAAGATCATTTATAATTTGTGGGGATTACTATTTATTAAAATGTAATGTTTAAGCCCAATTCAATTATACTTGAAAGTAAACAATCTGGGAGTTATTTTGTTTGGCAGGAGGCGGGGAGAAGGGAAGAGAGAACGGGAGAACAAAACTGAATGCCTGAAGTGTTTGGAAAAAAAAAAAAAAAGAGGTGGAAAGAATAATCATAAAACTTGCAGTCACAAGATCCAGGTTCCACTCCCATGTCTGCCAGTCTTTGCTCTGAGACCACAAATGACTTGGATATTTCTAATGGAATTTTAAAAGTGCTTAAAGGAGGAGTACAAACATCGGTACGACGTCAGCCCCAACTCTCTTAATGTACTTTTGATACCCTTTTGGTAGTCTTTGCATCTCAGAAAAAGAGACTGAAAAGGGACTGTCCGTTCTGAAAAAGGGACAATCTATATTCCACAGAGATGCTGGGAGAGTCACTCTAACAGCTGCAAACTAATTTTTTTTAGATATCAGAGGAAGTCCTCTTCCGTAAGTATAAAACACCTCTAAGAAAGGCCTTGCAAAATGTCTGCCTGAACAAACCATGTATGCATGAAGACAAAATTCATAGCCAACACAGAGTTATGCACAGCTTAAGAAAATACAGGTGTTCCAAGTAAATACGATCTGGAAAAACCTGTCCCTGTATTTTCAGACCCACAGCTGAAAGGCCAGTATCCTGGCTAGCACAGCCTCCCCTTTACTGGTAAATATACAGTATTTTTCAGGTCCTTCTTGAAACAATAGCATCCTCAGACGAAATATGTAACCGTCACCATTCAAAACAAAGGTACACACTAAAATTACATTGGCAGGTAGCCTCTGCTAGGTATTCTTGACAAATATAGAGGTGTATAACCCACAAAGAGAGGAGAAAGGCCAGAGAAACAAGCACCAAAACACAGCCAAAGAGAAAGCAAGGAAGGGATAAGAACGAGGGGTTTGGACACTGGAACGAGGCTTTTGAATTGTTGCTTTACCATGCCTGATCATTGCTTTTTCAGGGAAGCACAAGTCCGCATTTTTCTTGAAAGCACAAACAGACAACAGACATGTTGCTACTTTTTTTTTTTTTTGGTCTTAAAATACTCTGATTTTGGTCCCCTACCTAAAGATTGCAACAACAGTGAGGGGTATTACACCACTACTTTTACACAACTAGAATTACTGCTTTCTATTATCTGTGCAATAAGTTCCACAGGTGAATTAGGACTAACATATCTTTTACCACCTATGAATTCAGTCACAGTGACGAGCCTTTTATTTATGTACTAGGAAAGGAAGACTAAAACCTCGGTTTAAGTTCAATCATTCAAACCTTCATTATATTTGTCCCTCTTTATTTCCTTTCCCAAGATTTTAAGTCTTTTCATATAAGGATTTTTCACAGCTTTACTTATCTGTCATGTTATAATGAGGAGACCAAGACCGCACTCATTTATTCTCAATGAAACTGCACTCAGACTCCTATTTTGTAACTATCAATGTTCAGAGTTTGGTAATTTCTGCCCTATTCTTTGTATGTCCCATAACGTTGATTTTTTTTCCTCCAGCTCAGGTCCACAAACCCACCTGGATAGCCTTGAATACAAGTAATATATGAATAGCTGTTTTTCATCTAGGATGCACTGATTCATGCTTAGTCTAGACTAAATTCTTAGTCTAGACATTAGACTTAACTTTTTAGCATACTGGATGTTAACTTAGCACATACATTCAGCATTCCAGACTCTTCCACAGGATTTAGCTGAGCTCTTTCTTTCATATAATATGAAGTATCAGTGGTTTCAGTGCTCACGCTCCTTTTCAAATTTTTCACAAAAATCTTCAATGTTAAGATTCTTGCACAGATCTTTGAAATGAAGTTTCACAAAAAAAGCTAATTTTTATTTTGGCTTCAATGTGGTACACTGGCAGGTTAGAAATAGCTCACACCCGAGGTGTATTCTTCAAGGGACTTCTTTTTCCCCCAACTCTGAAAAAGCATTCACCAGAGACAATAAAACCAGGCAACCCAATAGTTCCATACCTATCCAAGTGAAAGGCTGCCACTTCTGCGTTGTGTCTGTCATAGCCAGCGTACGGTTCTCCTTCCACGACATAATCCCTGGCATATCTGTAATCGAAATAAGTCAAATAAAGCGATTCATGCAGGATTCCAATCAACTCTGCTGTTCAGAGTAACAAGTGCAATAACAGTGCTAAGTTAAACACACTCTGGGTCACTTTCAAAATGATTGCCCATGGGAGAAGGAAAAATTATTAATGAGATTAAAGAGTGTAGACTGTTGAAGTAGTAAATAAGGAGGAAAGGTCAGTAATTACAGTGGTCTCAAAAGCTTGGGAAGCGGTGTCCATTCAAATTAATGAGTTTTAATTCAATCATATGCCAAGTCACAGCTAAGAACAAAGAGCACAGACCCAGCTACAGAACAGGGCACTATTTAAACTGGAAAGCAGCAACTCCACAAACGATTTAGAATGGATTGTAGATTAACGTGCAAATACAATCTGATATTGTGGAAGAAATGCCAAATGCAATCTTTAGTAGCTAGAAGATCAGCAAGCATGAACTCGAGGACAATACTGGATATAAAAAGACTCTTTATTCTGGTGGAGAAAAGACGCAATGAACAGCAAGAAATAGAAATTAGACACTCATTACAACAACAACGGAATATTTTGGTGAAGTGTTGGGATTTTTTTTCTTTTTTAATAGATGTTACTTAAATAGTCAAGGCAAACAAAAATTTCCAAGATTCGTGACATTTGAATCAGGTCTAGATACTACTCAAGAAGCATGGTACAGATGAGTGTAAAATACCACAATCAATAAATAGCGAGCAAATGGGTGAAATGCAATACATTTTCAAATAAAGTAAGGCCAAATTAGATTATCTATTTTCTCATTTCCATCTCTGTATCAAATTGTGTAAACTAGATTATTTCCAACAGATTCAGAGTTCAAGCAGTAGCAGCAGCAGTGTAAGAGAAGCCACAGTGCTCTGCTTTGATGCTCTACTCAGAGAAGATCTGGAGCAAGGCGACAGTCCGTTGCATCAGTCTGAGCAAATGCTTTAGCTCTTCTGCAAGGCATCTCAAAAGAGAATTAACCAGTGCAGGATGGCATGGAGGTTTTGGGAGGAGGATTTGACAGATTCCTGCCAAACTGGAACTTACTCCAAACAAGCATCTCATTTCACATATACCACTGACAAGCGATGGTAGCAACTATTAATCATTAGTAACTTAGGCTGGGTTTCAAGTGATTTTGAAACGAGGCAGCTAACCCTCAGAACATTTCCTTGAATTCAGATCTTTATGCGTATACTACAGCAGGCTTTTGAAAACATGGTCACGTTTTAAAAGCTGCAGAGCTAAAACTTATTGGTAAAACACAAGCAACTTCTTGCTTCCATGCACAGTAGGAATCTAGTCCTTTCTAGAGCAAAGGTGGCAAATCAAGAGAACTCATTCTTCCCCAACCAGTAAGTTTTCTGGAAATGGTTTTTAGTAGTAACTCTCACAAACTTTTCAGGTCAAAAGCCAGTTAAAGAGATTATCTTGCAATGACAGAACAAGAATCTACCTACAAGCCTCACTATTTGGAAGTCAGAAACAGAACATGGGTCTACCAGTATGGCTAGGGCCATACCATCTAGCACTCCTACATACTTTCCCAGCTGCACGTGTCCTCGATGGAAGCATAGTCACTGTGTTCGCCTGCACAGACGTTCCATTATGGGAATGTAATTTAATGCTTGGTGAAATGCTTCACAGCACTCACATATACAGAAAGCAATACAGAAACACCATGTCTTGTTACTGCATTTATTGGACGAGCCGTCTGTCGTACCACCAAGACTTGTGTGAAAGGTTCACCACCGTTTAAACACAGCCTAGCCCCAGAATGAAGCTCTAGCCAGACCAGTAATTAACCACACAGCAACAGGCCTGCAAATTCAAGAAGTGGAGGGCAGATTTCTTCCTCATTCTCTTACCATTCATTAACATGACAGAAAGACTTCATGCTTGCTCAACTCAATATCCTTTGCAGAGAGATGTACTCATTCTGCGATGACAACACTCAACATTTGCAGTGTGCTCCCATAAAACACACCTGCCTTACTTTTTTTACATTTTTCTTTCTTCTCCTTTTCCCTGAAGGCAAACAGTTCAAAAAGCTTTACAGACATTCACAAGACTCTTCATAAATGTTCAATCCTGTCCAATTTCCCTGTGGATCACCATAAACAGAGGCCATACCAAGGAAGTATCGCTACTCACCCGTTCTTACATTACTCCTCCAGTACTCACTACTGACAGGAAACTCAGAGGCTTTCACTCTGACCTACCAAGCCATTTTTACAATCTTCATGCAGCTACACCAGACACCCAGATTTACTTTTAAGACCACTGTCGACTTTCACTCCTTCCCTGTTGTTGACTGCATTCTCTCATGGCAGTTTGACGTGACCCTTACTCAGAAAAGAGTAGGCAGACTTGTCTCCGCACTGCCAGAACCTGCCCTGCCACGATCAGGAAGATATTGCTTAGAAACATCAGGTTTAACTAACATTCCCTCAGGACTGAACACGGTGATTATTCTTTTAACCTAAAGACAGGCTGCTTCGAGCATCAAAGCTATACAGCCTGAGACAGCTGGCGCAGCAACCTGATGTTACTAGAGCATCAGCACGGCTCTATATTGTTTCACAAATAAGAGAATGGCCTTTCCATTTACATACAGATTTGTAACTTAAAGAGTAATGCAACAACATGGAGATTTAAAAAGTAATACATAAAGCAGCTATTAATTCAGTCCTTGAAGGCAATATTTACCTCTTGGGTTTGAAGACAACCTTCTGTCCTCCTTCAAGTATTAGCAAAGCTTTCAGTTGGGTCCCTTTGTATCCCACATCAGCTTTTATTATTTTCTTGGTTGTCATGGCATGCATAACAGCCCCTAGCTCAGGCGTCTCCTCGGGATACACCTCCCGGGGCACCACCCATTGGGCTGCAATTTCCCAAGGGGACTGCAACGTATGGTCAAGTCGGGGGTCCAGTTCTACGTGGAGGCTTGCCATCATACGGTGAAAGGCGCGTTGGTCCTCCCGGTTGGCAGCTGAGGTGTCCAAGTTGTCAATGAGGAAAACTTTAGTGAAAATGAAGATGACAAGGAGGATGGCCAACAGCACAACTCGCTGCTTCAGCTTCATGGTGACCTTCAACCCTTCTCCCCTGACCTTTTCTTCCAAGCGTTACAGGAAGTCTATTGGAGATCAGGGTGAGGAAGGGGATGTTAGTTAATGAATCTCATTCATAACTTGCATTGTGAAAGAGGTATCACCACTGAAGCATCTTCTGGTACCCCTAAAAATAAACAAAACACAAACTTAAAAAAAATTGCATTCCTACAGATCCCACCAAACTCAACATCAAGTTTATGCTTGGAATGTAAGTCTGCATTTATGTACACTTGTATCCTAAAGCCCAAACATTTCTGTTAAAACCCAGAGGGTTTGCTGTCTTCCTGTAGCTTTTCAGTGATCTGCCCAAAAGGGGAAATTGCCTGATAGCATCTACACAGCTGAAATCATAACAGCTCCAACTACCATAGGCAAGACTTTTGCAGAGAACTGTAGTTTAAGTTGATGGCTCCAATTTCACAAATACTCTTCCATTAGTAAGAGAACCCATGACCTCTGGTTTCCTCAAGATTCATCCCTCAAGAGAAAGCTCCCAGGTAGGTTTTCTGACATCTGACAACCGATGAGAACAGCTGTGCAGCCTAGTTTCCTGAAGGTACAAGACATAAGAACAGAATAGACTTCATTTGTTTATTGCCTCTCATTTGCTGTCACTATAATTTATGCATCTTTTTTCCCATTCTTTAAAAAAAAAAAGAAAAAAGGGGGACATCTTTGCTTCCTTGTGGTTAACTATATACCTTGTGCAGTCAACTGTAAAACCAATAACCACAAAAAATATACAAAATATCTGTAATCTCAACACCAAATTAACAAGGAAAAAACCCCCAAACACTAATACTGCCTCTTCTCAGAAACCTCACCTACAACACAGTTAAAGCCACATCTGCGTTTCTATATTTAAGTAGGCTGCAAGACACGTCTTACCCCTCAACAAGCCTTTGCCGGTACAGTGTTAGCATACAAGGACCCCATGACGCACAGTTTATCCTGTATTTCAATTATGAGGAGAGAAATTATCTTCATAATATTAGTTGAATGTAGTCGAAACCCAAATGGAAACGGATACTAACGCACATCTCTGAGGAACGCTTGGAGCCACCAGAGATCTCTCTCTGCACAAGCTATGCTAACCATGAAAACCACAAATGGCACCCTGAGCTGTGGTAGGACTAATAAAGAAAAGCCTTCTCATGCGATTTAGCAGTAAGTGTACAAACCAGTCATTATTAATCATGTCACCGGCAAAACAAGCTGCACGGGCTAAGTTAATTTACCGGCAGCAACTGAAGGACAGCCAGACTGTGACTTGCTGGCCACACAATCACAGCCATCTTCAGCGTCTGTGTGACGCCGTGCCCTACATGCAAAGGTCACGGAAGGGTACAATGGTTCTGAGGGGCCTCAGCACATCGCTGAGGTACATCTCCATTGAAGATTAAGGCCGTGGCAAACAGTACGTGACACATCCTTTGAGCAAGTCACCAGCACAGAATTAGGTTTGGCACAGTGTAAGAGTACTAGTATAAAAGCACATGCAAGCCGAAGAATGACTCCACAGCACCTTAAATAAATTTACATTAGGTCTATAGGAGACCCACCCTACCTCCCAGCTACGTGGCTCTCCCACCTTCCTGTGCCTCAGCGTTAGCATTCATACAACCCAGCTACAAGGTAGTTCAACGATCCAGGTTGCTGACCCACCCAACCATTAACCACATTCCTTGGTTTGTGTGTGAACCACCTACTACTGCTAGGTTTTGAGCCACTACTGGTGCAAGTCAGAGAGATGAGGGAGGGCGGCACAGCAGCTCCAATAGTGGGAGATGACCCATGGAGTTCCTACAAAGCCTGCCTACCTATCTACACAAGGGGCACCTTCCCCTGAATCTGGTTTCCGACGTAGTTTCACAAGCATCTGAGGAAGGCATACCACGAGGCCAAGAACAAGCGTTTCTCTTGGCAGCAGCGCTAGTGATTATACCTGCAGGTAAAACTATGGCCCAGGCCAGCCTGACAAAGGTTTTTAACCGCTTAGAAACAGTCACAAGGAAATTCCGTAACAAACTGTCAGATCTTCCTGTTCTCAAAAATCGCTCTTTTCAGCACAGCTACTAAGCTGAGCACCACTCAACTTACAGGCGACGTGCTCCGACAATGCAGAAGCAAGGCTTTTAGCCCAGTTTACCATCTGAATTATTTTGATGTCATTGTCCTGCCTTAGGTGACAGCTTGGTTCAGTTTGGCCCTTAACTGTCAGATCTTCCTGTTCTCAAAAATCGCTCTTTTCAGCACAGCTACTAAGCTGAGCACCACTCAACTTACAGGCGACGTGCTCCGACAATGCAGAAGCAGAATGTCCTGCCTTAGGTGACAGCTTGGTTCAGTTTGGCCCTTCCCAAGTTACACATTTTGCCTCTTAAATACTTCCTATAAAACCTGTCTGCCAAAGCAGGAAAGAAAGTGACAGTCTCCTAATGACAACGAGTTAAAACTGAAATGTGAACAAGTGGTTTAATGTTAATAGCAACCAATAAAAACCCCATGAAGGGTTGAGGGTAGGGTCTCAGTGACGATTCAAACTACTGCTATGGTCCCCTGTTAATTATGTAATGCTGATTTTAATCTACTGGAAAATAAGTGCTTGTATTAATAGTGAAAGACAACAAGCCACATGTTTATATAGAAATTAAAACAAATTATTGTTCATCTCAGTTCTGTTTAGGCAGCTTGTATTTCTCCAAGCAGCGTGTCAATCTGCATATTACACACTGCAAGCACAAGAATGAGAAGCACAGACAAGGAAGATGCACCTGACCTGAAAGCCCTTGTTCTTCCAAATACAGACTCACCCAGAAGGAGAGCCCTAAATAACAACATTATTCTTAAATCTAAGAAAGCAAGTAAAGCAGATCAGGCAGTAACTGTACCCATTCATTGTAATTTCATAATTTCACTTCTTTAAAACTAGTCACTCTAAATCATTTTGAACATTGCTGTTATCAAGATCTCCCTTCATTCATTTTTAAAATCCATTAGAGATTTTAAGAAGTTACAGAGAAGAACACAGGTCATTTCAGAACAGTTACTCCTAATTATGAGATATGTATACATGTACACATATATCTTAAGAAAGCCTTGCAGCCCCGTGTTGGCCAATTAAAGCACTGGACAGAAATGTTTCATACCTTTGGAGCCCACACTGGACACTCACTGTTCTGGATTTATTTTCAGGAATGCTGAGTTTCTCCAGGTATGCTTCTTGGGGCTAAGGAAGAGAATATAACTAGAGCCACCACTTAAATTTACTTAGTTTATCTTTTGTGACAGCTTTGAAACCAATTTTGGCTGAAAACCTCCACCTATGTAGATAGAAGTTACCAAAAAAATGTTTGCTATAAGACGTTTCAGCAATTCCCTTAACTGAATAACCAATCCTTGCCAAACATTTCTCCTGAAGTTATACAATTACTCCTGACACCCCAACCAAACCTCTACCCTGCTTTTGCTCTCTGTAGCTTTAAGCAGGTGAGTTGGCTCTGACTTTTTACTGACATCTGCCAAAATGAGTCATCGGCTGCTTTTCTCCAACAAACAACAAAACACCCCTGAGGTTGCTATGCAATCGATTCCACCCGCTAGCTGCAGAGCCCGTACATTACTCCTCAGGTGCCAACATTATGCTCATTGTACAAGCCAATAAAAATGAATCCTTTCATGAAGATGTTTAATGCAGAGAGCAAGAACTTAAGCTTTGTTGTTTTAAATTGAAGATGGCAAGAGTGACAGTGCCAAGGTGGTGTAAGAAAACATTTACGCTGTTTTGGAAAAAAGCAATTTGAAGAAAAGGACATGTCTTTGGAAAAAGGTTTGGATTGGAAAAGAAGATTATGAAAGCTCAGGAAGCGTGAAGCTGGTCCTGGAATGGGGACAGAGATGGGAAAGGTGGCCACAGAAACAAATGAAATAAGAAGAAAACCCCAACATTTTAAAAAGGGAAAAATAGGGTGAACTGTGAGCAGAACTCTCTGGGACAAAGGGCAAAAGGCTCCAGGACAATGGCAGAAGTAAACCCAGGGATAAGCTCAGGAGGAGACCCAGAAAGGAACTAGTTCCAGAAACTGGCAGGGGTGAGAGGGAAAGGCAAGAGTCTTCATGCTTGACAAAATGGGGCAAAGGAACAGAGTAACCGCTTACTTCTACATAAGAGATGTAGGAATGCGGGATGCACAAAATGATAGTAGGTGCTCTTTCAACCAGAAGGCATCAGAGAAGGAAAAACCCAAATAAAGTTTTCAGAAGTCAAGTACATTTTACATGTCTGACCAGAGCTAACAATGAGAGTAATCCCTGTGTACCTGCAGTCCTGGAACAACACACATTCCCTCCTGCTGTTGGGCAGCAGCTGCTGATCTCTTATTAAGGCCAGGAAACTCTAAAAGTGGCTTCTTTTTTCTTTTCTTTTTCCTGAGCTTCTGCTCATCATTATCTCCAGCTACCATTACTAAACAGAAGACATAATCCAAAGAGGTTTGTTGCTTTACCACCCAAACTCCATCTCCATGTCAGAAAGTACAGAAAAACTCATCTCCCTGTCTACCATTTTCCCATACTCCTGATCAACCTGGAAAAGAAAATAGTCAGAAATAAACAACCATACCAGCTTTCTAATAGCGTAGTCAGCTGGCAGGTTTGCATAAGAAATGCTTCTTGTTTTTCACTACCTCTTTGGGATATTTCCTGACCAATTTTCTCTCTTGTTACAACCAGCAAGTAACAAGTCTCCCAAATCAATATCCAAATAACAGCGTCTTCTAAATATCACAGCCAGGTCACAGTGCACACAGAGGCCTAAACTAAAGTATGCCCACTGGCATTAAATAACAACATCATACCACTTTAGTCCCAGTCTGAAAAGCAGCATGAAACTTGCCCACTACAAACATAGCTACTGTAAGCAGCCTACAAAATTAGCAGAGGATCATATACCAGAAAATGATTTTTATTAG